CAGTTCTAGTTCAGTTCTAGTTCAGTCTTAGTTCAGTTCTAGTCAGTTTTAGTTCAGTTCTAGTTCAGTTCTAGATCAGTTCTAGTTCAGTTCTAGTTCAGTCTAGTTCTAGTTCAGCTTTCTCTCTCTCTCTCTCTAATATAAGTAAGTCTGCTCTATACATGTATAGTCGAATCTGCGTGTCGCTTGATATAGGGCACATTATGTTACCAGCTATACCATATACATGTATAATCAACTTAATTACATTTTAATATCTTTATAGTTATAAAAGAAATGTTTATTTTTATATTCTTTTAAATTTTTACTTTTATTTTATTAATATATTTTTTAACCTTCCTCTCTGTCGGTCATTTGTCATATGAATGTTTTTTATGAAATTTATGAAGACATTTTTAGTAGTTATTAAATTTATGAAAGTATTTTCATCACTATTTTTGCTTCGTTTCTTTCATATATATTTCATTGTATTCAGGCGAAAACATAAAATTAAAATGTTTTTTTCCATAAACAGAAAAAACAACGTATTAAAAATTTTTATACAAAATGTAATCGTTAAGTCATTCATAATTACGAAATGATTCATTTAAATAAAATTAATAAAAAAATAATAATATTTCTTTAGAAAAAATTAACAAATTGAAATGAATTGCATGACAATGAAATTAACGATTAACCGGTTTGCAAAAGATAAACAAAATAAAAAATGTAGATTTAAAAAAGAATGACATTAATGAGAGCACTATAATAAAATTAAAATGTGTTTTGGATTTTAATTAAAAATAAATATAAACAAAAATTACATACATGTTGAAAAATTTTAACTGACAAATTTTGAGCAACTCAATTATTCGTATCTTCTGCAAAATATTTTTTTAATCTTATACTTATTAGCTCATTTTAGACTTTTATTATACAATTTACATGATCTTATTAGGGCGGAAGCTTTAACATCAAAAATAAATTAGAAAGTCATTAATAATTTCATAATTAACAAATCTCTCAATAACTGCCGGACATCATCATCAACATGATTAAACACACACACACAAACACAACTATATTTACTGAAGTGTTACCAACAGTATTTTTAGCTGTAGGGTATAAACAAAGTTTCCATGATTTTGTATCTATTAAATTAGAAATTGTTAATTATGTATGAAGTTACTAAAACTAACAATAAACTACAAACTTTGAATACAATAACAACAACCAGAGCAATGTTAACTCAAAACAAATCTATCTGTCTGTCTGTCTAGTGTGTCTCTTATAGTTTTTACTCCAAAAAACAAGTTTTCCTTTAGTGATTCACGTGCGGATTTATTGGTGAAAGACAAGTTAGATGTTGGAGCAAGCGTTGAAATGTTTGTTTAATTATTTATTTATTCATCAGCATGGAGAGTAAAAAAAAAGTTGACTTACACATTGTAAATCCGTTTACAATCATAGTTAATGAGTTGCAATGAATTATTTAAGTGGTTGTAGATTTACTATGTTGTTTTAAGGTTTTGCTTTTAGTTTCGAGTTTGCAGCACATTTTCAAACAGTGTGTCATATTTTCATTCATTAAGTTATTATGACATATGGTAATCGAGCAAAAAACCTATACAGACTTTCAAGAAAATTCAGTGCATTATTGCTCAATATGTCGGGTAAAATTATTAGATTAAAAAAAAAAAAACTATAAAAGTTGTAGCAACAAGCTTTGATATTAAAGATACTGTTTACACAATATCAGCTGTTTATCTGAATTGGACAACATAGACTATTTCTGTCTATGAAAATTGCAACGAAATAAAAATCAACCAGTAAGAGCGTAATATTCAACTATGCCGAATCTTATATACCCACCATCAAACCGTATGCCGTAAATGGAATGCTCCCATATAAACTTTAAGTTGATATATGTGTCGGATAACAAAATATTTACTTCTAAAAACAAAATATTTTTGTCCAATTTTTTAACCATGAACATACATATATGGGCGGTCAATCAGGGTCAATTATAAAATTCAGTAGAGAGATTTTGGCTTGTAAGAGACTTTCTTCTGTATATTGAATTTCATAGCTATACTCGCATTTTTAAGCCAGCAATGTGCGTTAAAGTCATTTTCTGAAGGGGTCTTATATGGGGGGTAATGTCAACTATGGACCGATTCTCATAAATTTCAGTAGAGAGATTTGTGCTCATAAGAAACTTACTTATGTCTAATTTCAGCGCTATACTCTTATTTTTAAGGCAGTAGTGAGCGTTAAAGTCATTTTCTGAGGGGGACCTTATATGGGGAGTAGTGTCAATTGTGGACCGATCCTCATAAAATTTGGTAGAGAGATTTTAACTCATAAGAAACTTGCTTATGTCGAATTTCATCGCTATACTCTTATTATTAAGGCAGTAATGAGCGTTAAAGTAATTTTCTGAAGGGGGACTTATATAGGGAGTAGGGTCTGATGGACCGATCCTCATAAAATTCGGTAAATAGATTTTTGATAGTGAGAAACTTACTTATATCGAATTTTAGCGCTAGACTCGTTTTTTGAAGGGGACCTTATATGAGGGGTAGGGTCATTTATGTACCGATCCTCATAAAATTTGGTAGAGAGAATTTGCCTCATATGAAACTTATTTGTGTCGAATTTCATCGCTATACTCGCATTTTAAAACAGTTATTACGGTTAAAGCAGTTTTTCGGGGGGCCACTTGTATGGGGGCTTTGCGAAAACGTGCACCGATATTGCCCATTTTCAATACCAAATAAACCTTACCTATAAGAAATATTTGTGAAATATTTTAACACTCTAGCTCTTTCCGTTCAAACTCTATCGTGCTTTCAACATACAGACAGACGGACAGACATGGCTAGATCGTATTAGAATTTAATAAGGGCCCAGAATATACTTTTGTGGGTCTATGATCAATATTTCGATGTGTCACAAACGGAATGACAAAATCAATATATCCCCCATATTTTTTAATGGTGGGTATACAAATAATCAGTTCCCTACCAGGGAATCTTGATCTCAGTACAATATGCTCAGTACATTAATACTCCTAGAAAAAAGGGTCCTGTTATATAATCAATATTGCTTAAATAGTTCAGAAGCCATTAAACAGAACATTAATTAAAACTGAAGAATTAACGTTTAAGCAATTATTACATTTTAATGCAAACTTTACATTTGCATAAACAAAATAAGCCACATTTATCATACCACCCTCGTAATAAAATGACACCAATAAGGTTGTTTAGCTTTTGATAACCGGGTGTGATTGAAATATTTGAAACTATGTGTATAATAAAATAGATTAACCACCACGCATTTACTTATTTGAGTAATTGTTATAAGTAATTGAGAATATAATTCTATAAATATATTCAAAAATTTACATTATTTTCAATACCGTTATTATATTATACAATTCACAGCCTTCGCAAAAAAAAACTTTTAATTTTAAACACCTGACATCATTTAAAAGCCTTTAAACATGAAAGTATTTCAGTACAGCAACTATTTCATTAAATATTTAAATAAACTAAACGCACTTGGCGAAAAAAAAATTGAGTTTGAAAATATTTAAACTTTTTAAAAATTTACGAAATTTATTGATAACTGATTTATTTACTATTTTAAACAAAATTTCCTCTTACTATTTTGTGTATTACCTCATGCCACACACCACTTAAGTGTCGCCAACTATATGTGGCAGCAGCATTTTGTCACTGATATCTACTACATATGCTTGTGCGTTTTTGCAGTAAATACAACAAACAAATAACAAGTATTTTATAAAATTTTGTCTTGTGTCTGCTCAATGAAGGTGAGAGCAGCCGTTTACAGAGAAAATCCAAAGAGGACTGGTTTTAAATACGCCGCACTTGCTGTATAGAATGATCAAGAATGATCAACAACAGCTCGCTGGCTGACTGGCAGCAATAGCAACAACAACATTCAATAACGTGTATAATAAAGCTTTAAACTTATTTTTGTTGTTGTATGTAAGTGAAACATTTAGCAGCATTGGGGATTAAGCAATCAAGGTGGATTGGTAAGGTACCCTATATAACAAGCAAAAACTTGATGATCACTTACGAAAATGTTTCTCTATAAGGGAATTCAGATGGAAAAGTTTGATCCTTTTTGAAAATTTTAATATTCTACCATTCTATGCAAATATATAGACTAGTCCTTATACTAGTCCAGTCCATATACTAATTTATTACTTATACTGCTAAATAGACTAATCTATAGGCTAATTAATAGATTTATCAATAAACTAGTCTGTAGTGTAATCCACGGACTAGTCTATGGCTTATCAGTCGATCCATATACTACATAGGTGAGTGGTCTATGTAAAAGCCAATAGTCTTGCCTATAGGTTAGTAAACAGATAAAAATGGTATAAACGAAATTTTAATCCTTAAAGTACTAATTTCCGAAAAAAATTACAGTAAAAACCTGCACAACAACTTCATATTCTGCTTTACTTTTAAGTAGTTTTATAATGACTTACTTTCAAATACGGAAGTACCTATATTTGTTTTTTACACATACACAGTGAAAATAGTACTTTTGTGTGAAAACGTGAGAGAAACAACTTTAACTCCCTATTTGTTATGACTTATTTAATTAGATTTTTGTAAGCGATGGTGGTAAGTACTAAAGAGTTAGAATGCCTATGAGTAAATAAGTAGTAAAATGCAAGTTTAAAAGCTGTTGAACACATTACTTTTCAATGTAATTGCATTTTCCCTGTCTAATGATAAACATTTCTTTCGAAATGTTACCAATACAGACTCAAACCTAATATACCAACTCAAACTTCAAAGGCTATTTGTCTGTAAAAAATACTAAAAAAAACATAAAAAATATAAAAAAAATCTATGTACAACAGAATTTAATTTTTTGTAGACGCAATACATTTTATAAAAAGATTTACGTTGTTGTTGTGTTATTGCTATTTTTTCTATAATTTTGTTTACAATACAGATTCCAAACTAAATGCCGGAGTTAGTTTATTCTGAATACTTCAAGTGATCACAAGTGCAACACGCTAAAAAAGATAAATCTCTTAAAAAAAAATATCCACGAAAAACAATAAAAAAAAACAACAAACCAACTCAAAATATTCCATTAAGTGTTTTATTTTTAAAATCTTTAAAACATCTTTAGCGAATTGGCTATTTTTAGTTAATGATTTGAGTGTTTCTGCTGTGTGTGGCGGACTTAAACGAAACAATTAAAACTTGGTAAATGCAATAATTTTGCATTAATTTTCATCTTCATTATTGCAGTTTGAAAAACCGAAAAAAAAAATATCAAAAACAACAGGCATTAGCAAAAGAGTTCTACTTGAGTGCTTCTACACAGACCATTAAAACGTCGCCGCTGACCACGCAAATAGTGAAAATTAATTTTAGTTTCACTAACGTTGTTTGTTGTGCCTGCTGCCATTCATAGCAATTGGTGATACAAAAGTATTCATTGCAAAAGATTTTAATCTTCATACTAAACACCACTGGTAAGCCAGTGTGAGCATTTCTTGCTGTTCCATCAACAGCCTGAAAATGAAGTTTCCAACCGCTTCGTTAATACAATTCTTAGTTATAATTGCGTTGAGTTCTACGCATGAGGAACAAGTGGAAGCTGCTGTGGGTTTATATGGTCCCGATAGATATGAAGGTAAGCTGTAAATCTAACTAATGACCTTGACTTATATTTTTTTTTATTTTCCTACAGGTCTACCTGAAATCTGTTTGATGCCCATGGATTTTGGTTATTGTCGTGCCAAGGTACAACGTTATTACTTCGATATAAGACGTATGAAATGTACCATGTTCTTTTGGGGTGGCTGTGCCGGTAATGATAACAATTTTAAGTCCATGGAAGAGTGTAATAATTTCTGCAATTCTCCCTATGAGGATCATGTCCATAATGAGGTAGTGGCTGTGAAAAAGGAACGCACCGAAAGCCGAGTAGAGAGTAGAGGAAGTGGTAATACAAAATATAATACTTTAAATAGCAGAGATGGCGCCGGTAGAGATAGTGCTCCCAAATCGGTGCCTAAATTTTCCTTAAAACCAAATGTCACTTCAAAGGAAACCGGTTATAAGGGTTCCTTCAAGGCCAGTTCTAAAAGCTTTAATATAAATCCAGCACCAAAACCCAGCAGTAATAATAACAACAATAACAGTAACAGTAACATCGATCCTTTAGATGCTATTGATGATGAAGATTATGATGATTAAGAGGAGCATTAGTACTCGCAAGTATTTGTGAGAATCAATTGATTTATATACATATATTTATTAATTAAATTTATTTTTTGTACAATGTAATTTAATAAATTATATTTAAAATAAAAAGAGTTATGTTACATTTTTTTTTTTTAATTTTTTTAAAAATAAAAATACTTTAGTCAAAACTTGTTTTAAATTTAAAAAACTTGTAATACTCTATGTATAAAACAACTTTAAATTAATTACTTAGAAAACGAGTGTAAACAAAATCACTAAAACTAATAATGACGAAATTACTTCTGGAACAAATTCTGTTATTTAATTTGATGTTACATTATAAATTGAATTCAATAGATTATTTCTGTATCAGTTCCAAAACTACCATAGCAAAATATTTTGTCTGAAGAAGTACTGGCTTCTGAAGGAGACTCTATCTGTTTTTATGGGTGTTAAAATTGATAGCACAATAAAATGAAGACATTAAACTGACGTTGTACCACTCTTTCCTACAAAACTAAAGTTTTAATTAACCTTATTATCAACGTTTGCCTCTCTCTATTTTCCAAATTTATTGCTATTTCGTGATTTGATTTTTTTTTTTTCAATCTTAAATTTTTTGGAAGAAAATAGCCCATTGGCTAGCTATGCCTGGCTAATTGGTCATTTCGACATGCTCAACTTTATGTTTGTCATGAAAAAATTATGTGAAAAATAGGAGTTCCTTTCACATTGGTATAGTAGTCTAAAATTATGTGAAAAGTTGTTTCTGAAACCGCTCATAACATTACGTTTTTGTTTTTTTTTTTTTTTTTTAACAAATTTCAATATCCTGGGGTTTAAATTAAAAACAATAATGTCGCCATCTATTAAGCAAGTGAAAAATGCTGAAAATTTATTTTCTTTAAATTACAAACAATTGATTGCATCACAGCTAAAATGCCAAATTTCTCCCACCAACAGTGGGTTTTGGACAGAACATAAATAGGAGATTCCGAAACATAAGTCGATAAATTGTAACAAGATTTAATGGGACCACATGTGCACCAGACCTTAATGCCGCATTATAGTCCACATTATAGTTCTAACTATAATCACGACAATGTTGCAGACTCAAGTTAAAACTGTAGTCCAAAACATATTTCAGACTATAGTTCAGTTTACTGTTCAGAATATATCTGAACTATATTCCACAACTCTATTCCAGACTTTAGTTCAGTTTATAGTTCAGACTATTGACCAGATTATAGTCCAGACTACAGTTTAGTCTGTTTTTAAGACTATGATTCAGGTTATATTCCACACTTTAGTTTAGACTTTAGATCAGACTATAGTCCAGAATATAGTTCAGTCTATTGTTTAGACTACAGCTCATACTATAATGCAGACTATAATTCAAACTATAGTTCAGACTATAGTTCAGACAATATTCCTGACTATAGTTCAGACTATAGCCCAGACTATAGTTCAAACTATAGTTCAGACTATAGTTCAGACAATATTCCTGACTATATTCAGACTATAGCCCAGTGTTTAATTCAGACTATGGTCCACACTTAATTCCAATAATAATTTACAACATAATATAGATTATAATTCAGATTATAGTCCATAATATACTTTAGACTAAAGTCCACTATAATCGAGACTATAGTTCAGACCGTTAGTCTTTCTATAATCCAGGCTATAAACTAAAGTCCAAAGTATAGGCTATAGCTTAGAATATAGTTCAGTCCTGCCTACAGTCAATTCAGTCTATAGCCCAGACCGTAGTTCTTACTATAATCCAGGCTACTAAAGTCTAGAGTATAGGCTATAGTTCAAAATATACTCCAAATTATAGTTCAGTCCAGCCAGGCCGTAGTTCTTATTATATTCCAGGCTATAAACTAAAGTCCAGAGTTACGAATAAAGTCCAAATTATAGTTCAGTCCTGCCTATAGCCCAGTCAAAAGTTTTGACTATAATTCAGATTATAGTGCAAACTATATAAACAATAGTCTTCACATCGTATTCGAAACTGTAGTCCAGACAACCATAAAGACACTATAGGTAATAAAGAGAATTTTAAAGAAATTAAATTGTTTCAATTACTACGTATTCTCTAGAACATCGGAATATAAAGTGCTTGTACATATTCAATCGATTTAATCGTAATCTTCATACAATTGATTTCAAATTATTAACACTCTATTTCTTGTATTTTAAACATTTTCTCTTAATCAAATGATTACAATAATTTCCAATTGTTTATTTGCTTTTTATAGCTTGACGTTGAAATAATAAATCAATTTAAAAAGAAAAATGTTGAAATGTCTTACAACACAATACATCTCCAGTTCCACTGTCATTATAATGATTTATATATGCGATGAAGCTATGAAATTGTTTGCACTCCACTAATACTACTACTGCAGTAACCACAACTATGATTAGCATTTCGTAGTTAGTCTCTGGTCAAAGAAGAGCTCTGATCATCTGCCTTTGAGACCAAGACGTGCAGTTCAACTTTGACAACAAAAGTGTTATAAACAACAAACGGTCGCCGTCAAAAAAAAAAATAAAATCACGCAAAAGAAAATAATCAAAATGAAAAGTTTACTAGCGGTATGCATAACAAAAAACATAAATAAATTAAATAAAATACAAGTTTTATTTATAATAAAAATAATTTTAATATTTAGGTTTTATGTCTAACGATAGCAGTACAAGGTCGTGAATATCATTATGATAAACCACAAGTAGCTTTCGAAAAAGAAGATGTTTCACATCAAACACAACCTACTGCTGCTGCCACACAGCCTAGTAAGAGTATTATTAAGGGTCTTAATGGCAAGGATTTTGAGGTAACAATGTCGGCGTCAAGAAAAGTGTTTGAAACACGTTTACCACCCAAAGAAGAGGTATTTATAGTACAACATTTAAATCAACCAGTAACTGCAGCACCAGCATTCTATCAACGACAACCGGCCAATGTAGCACCATATCAATACCCACAGCCCACAGGTATAAATTCTACACCAAATCCAGGATTTTATGGAACACTTCAACAGACTTATCATAATAATCCACAACAACATTTAAATTTAAATTCAAATCAGTACAATGGAGTCAATGCAGTCAGTAATGCACAACATCATTACAATCAATTTACAGCTAATACAAATTATCAACAACAACAACAGCAGTTACAGCGGCAACAGCAATATGGAGCTACATTTTCCCATTATCCTCAACAACAACAACCGCAGCAAACCGGTGTAGTTTCCCCAAGAACACAACAGCTACAACAAATAGGAGGCTCTTTTTCCCAAATACCAGCGCAACAGCAGCAACAAAAATATTATCCCCAACAATACGACCATTATCTACAGCAGCCACAACGCAACACTAATCTACCAAATTCCAATAATCTACTAAACGATTTAGTCAATAATCATAAATACGTTTCACAATCGGAAGCAGCACAACTCGATGTTTATCCGTACAAACAAATAAATGGCAATCCCCGGCCATTTACACGTATCATCACTAAATGCGATGCTCCAGGTCAATGTGAACCACAAAATGCTGCCGAGGGCGGTAGAGGAGGCAGTGATTTCCACCATCAACAGGTTTTAAAACAATCTAAAGCTCATGTTAGCCCCAACACAGATAAATGTCAAAATAAATTCAATTATCAATTTACGGGTAATGCCTTGACAGGTAATGCTGCTAAAGCCCAAAGAGGTATACCCATTACCAAGGGCACTGACTTAAGAGATCGTCGACTGTTTGCTTACAGTGAAGTGGTAATACCACAATATCCACATAATTAGATAAAAAAAGTTTTTACTTTTGTTAAGCACTGTTTAAAGATAATAATTTAAAAATAATCCTAAGAATATGCTAAGAAAATAAAATATATATATTTTTTTAAGAATCAGTGATTAGTATTTTAATGTCAGTCACTTAAGATTTGTTTTATTAGTAACGTTTTTATGTTTTTTTTTTTTTGTTTTGTCATTAATATCACTTACATACATTTTTATACGTCTTCCAAAGTAGATACATATGAAGGTATGTGTATCTTTAAGATTTAAAATACCCGTTTGTATGTAACAATTGTGTTATTTTTTTTTTGTTTGGTTTGTTAATTAATGACGATTTTGTTGTTTTTAAAAGGTTTAAATGAATCAAAAATATTTATAAAATTTTAAGAAAGAAAAAAAAAAATAAACTTGTTTTTTAAAAAGAAGCCAAAATCACAATCGAAATTAACCAAAAAAATACACATAACAATGCCTTTGTCAAAGCACAGTGGTTTAAGTAGGTATTTATTGTAAACTTTTATAAAGTGTTTTAACGTTTTAGAAATAGAGTTTTTAAAAAAGCTTTTTAAGCTCTTTTAATTAACAAATTGAAAAAGTTCTTTTTTATATAAATTTAGAAAAGTTTTTCTTAAGAAAGTTTGTTACGAGGAAACTTTTATGAAAAAAGCTTTGTAATTTTTGCATCAAAAGAAGCCTTATATATTGCAAAACTCTTACTAAAACGTAAATTTCACATATTCGTAAGCATGAAAGTTAATTTTTAAACTTTAAGTCAATTTGTAAAAAAAGCTTTTTTATTAAAATTTCAAAAAGTTATTTTTTTGGTGATAAAGTGTTTTCATCAATATATATATATATTTTTTTAATAATCTAAACTTGAGAAGCTTAAAAAAACTATTTTCTGTGAATTTCATAAAAAGCTTTTTATAAAAAGCTTTTAGTAAATACAAACTTTTTAATGATTCTTTTATAATTTTCAAATTAAAAAAGCTCTAATAATACATTTACCTCCAAGAGCTTTTTCCAAAAGCTTTTTCTTTAAAAAGTTCTCTTTTAAAAAACAACCTTTTTCTTTCTTTTCTTCCACAACCCACTGTGCAAAAGGCGTTAAGTTAATTTTATATTTAGTTCCTATACTATTTTAAAACATAATAAAACATTTACTTTAAAAAGCTTTTTCCAAAAGCTTTTTCTCTGAAAAGTTCTCTTTTAAAAAACAACCTTTTTCATTCTTTTCTACCACAACCCACTGTGCAAAAGGCGTTAAGTTAATTTTATATTTAGTTCCTATACTATTTTAAAACAAATATAGAATACAAATTAAAGGTAAACAACCGCAAATTTCTTATTACCAATATTAGTCACATTTTAAAGTTCTAATGAAAAACATATATAAAAAGCACTAAAACGGAACTAGACACATAAAAATTCTTATAAAATTTAAAAATTAAGCATAATATTCAACATGAATTTGGTGAGTACTCAAACAAAACTCCAAACAATAAAAAAATTTAAATAAATAATACAATTTTTGTAAATACAGCTGACCATGCTCTTTCCCTTATTGTGTATAACCGCCTTGAGCCTGCTGTACGCCAATGCTAATCCCGCATTTGAGGGTTATCGTTATGAGAAACCCAGCATACCATTTGAATATCCAACCGTTACAAAGAAGCTGCCAAAAAATGCTGACATTAAGCCAACAACAACAGCAATAACGTCAACAACGAAAGTGGCAAATGAAAAACTAAATACAAAATCAAAACCAAATAGTGCAACAGCAACAAAAACCACTACAATAGCAGCAACAGCTTTAAAACACCAGCAGCAACAAAAGCAAGAAAAATCTCATGCAACAGAGAAAATTAAAAAATCCACAGTGATAAACCCCACAGCAACAAATTTGAATATAAAATCAAATAAAAATCCCGAGACACCAACAATAATAACAGCAGAATCGGCTGCAACAACTGTAACTGTGGTGAAAAGAAAAACGGATAAATTAAGTTTAAATCAATTACCAGCCAACAGCACGACTAGCATTCATAGGGCAACAACTGGTTGTACAGTGTATAAGGCAGAGGAAGAAAAACATTTTAAAAATAAATTAGAGAAACAGGTCATAAAGAAAACCGATCCTAAAATATTGGCTGCTCAAGAAGCAGCTTTAGAGAATTTACTAAATCGTGATAATGGTTATATTTATCGTTTACCAAGCAAGCAAGTTAAGAGTTTAGATGAGAATTTGCCTCACACCGTACATGAAGAGAATCATGCCATTAAACGTTTGAAATTGAGGAATGATATCTATGAGGTAGATCACTCTTTAGGTGCTACAACTAGTGTGAAATATTGCTGTGACCAAAGTTTTGATATTGTGAGAGAAAAATACCAGCAGTTGGCTAAAAATCGCCCTTTGGAAAGACGTTTGACACCGTATACGGAAAAGTTGGCTGAAAAGGAATACTTTGAATGATGTACTGTAAACTTAAAAGGGCCTGAAATTAAATTTCTTCTAGTTATGATATTTAAAAAAAAATTAAACTCTTTACTTTTTAACCAGTTAATACATATCTAAAGTTTCACTATAATTCTCAATTAGTTAAGAATTTTATCTATTTCGTATTATACGTGAATTTTTCGTAAATATTACGAAAAAAGATTATTTTCAGTGTAAGTGGAATGCAATATCTATCTCAACGAATAGTATTGAAAAGTCAATAGGCAATTTGATGGTCTAGTCAATAGATTAGTTCAAAGGCTAATCAATATACTAGTTTATAGACATCTCGATGGAATAGTCAACAGGCAAGTCCATAGACTATTTTATGGGCCAGTCCATAGAATAGTTCATTAACTAAACCATAGGCCAGTCTATGGACTAGTCGATAAGGATAAGAATGCGAATATCTGTAGATTATGGACTGTTCTGCAGACTAGTATATTGGAAAATAGTCTGAAGATAAGTCCATTTACTAGGCAATAGACTAGTCAATAAACTATTCTATATATTAGTTCATATAATTGTCTGGTCTGTAAATTGATCAATAAACTGATCCGTAGATATAGTCAAAGCTAGTAGTTGATTCTGTTGTTAAATTTAAAAATTTCAATTTGGCATAATCCAATTTCTGGATCCTATAAGCTTAACTCCCTATTACCAGGCGATCATAAAAAGTACTTACCTTACTCCTTATTTGTATCATAGTAAGTACTTACCTAACTCCCTATTTGTAAGCGAGCGTGGTAAGTACTTGCCTCTAATGTCCCGTGTTAAAATTATGACTTAAAATGCTATTTATGTATATACTAACCCCTTACTTTTCAATGTAAGTTTTGCTGGGATTCTTGGTAGACTCCCTTTAAAAATAAAACTCCTTTCATTTGCAACTTATAAAAACAACAAACTTAAACTTTATTTAATAATTTAAAATAAATAAACAATAAAAAAACAAACCCTCAATTTATATTAACAAAAGTCGTTAAAAAACACACACAAAACATTTTAACGATGTTTCACAAACATCTCATAGTCAAATTGATCCCAATCGTTAACATTTCCACGTGGACGAGTGGATCCTTTAGTTAATGATCGTTGTATACGTTTTTCACGCTGCACATCCAATTCTTCAAGTTGTTCCCGTAAACGTTTCTCTTTAGCACTTAAGGCTTGAGGAGCACGTATCTTAGGCGAATTACGACTCTCATCCATTTCCATTTCGGACATGGCATCGTTGGCCACTACCTCGGCATTAAAGAAACCATCGAAATTTTGAAAATGTATAGATTCAGCGGGTTCATGATCATCGGGCATAATCATATCGTAATTATTGTTATGGATCATATTATCATCGGTCGAGGGTGAGGGAAAAGCATAGGTTAGAGGAATCCAAACGAGAAATAACATAGTGAAGATTTTAAGAGACTGTTGGGGTAAATTTTATTATTTAATATTTCTTATTATATTTATTCTTAATTTTATAACTTACTTGCTTACTGAAATTTCCTTCCATTTTTGATATCCGTTTCCTTTTCTTTCGCTTTACATTGATTCAGTGAATTGTTAAGTTTTATAACTAACTTAATTTTCTAAATGCGGCGATTTTTATATAAATTTCACCCACTTTTTTTTCCTCAAGATTCTTGTTTATGAGAACACTTTTTTTCCAAAGTACTTGAGAACACTTTTTTCCTTTCATTAGAAACTGGTTTGAAATTTTGGGTTTTTACAATGTTTTTTTAAACATTAATTTCGACAAATAACATGTTACAAATTTAATTTCCAGCAATATAAAAAAATAACCACGCAAATTTTAACGAATTTCCAATTAATGAATGTAATCTGAAACGCCCGTTTAGGTTTTTTTAGCTTGTGATTTTAAGCAGCGTTGAAAAAAATCTGAAATGCAAAATTTAACCATCAATTTGTTTTACATTGGCATTGACAAAATTGTACACTGAACCCTTCGCTTGATCAGCCCATTAAATGAAAAAAAATAAAAGAAAATAAAATAAAAATTGCATATATAATCAGATTGTTAAATTTTTAATTACACTGAGCGACAATAGTTAAGCCAAGATTTGGTAAAATAAATTTCGGTTATAACAACAAAAGTACTAAGAGGGTGTAACCAACGAGGTAAAAAGTACCAAATGTCCAAATTGGGAAATATGTGTCACACTATGAAAATAACTCTAGTAGTAGTACGTAGTACCTTTTAATACTTTAAAATATGCACCCAAAATCTGTTTTGGAACTTTCGAATGACTCCTCCTTGATTCTATTTAGTAGTAAATTGAAATAAAAAGTACCAAACGGGCAAATTTTAGTACACTACGAAATCATCTCTAGTAGCAGTAGGTTAAGCAAAACCCGTTTTATTCACTTTACAACATATCCACCCACTTTCACAAAAAAATGTAACAGTCGCCCCGTGTAACTTAATATCGAACAGTTTACACGTTTTCATTAATATTGAGTAAATTCGTCACCAATTAATAAATGATGACAATAAAAAAAGACATTCAAATAAAACCACAATCATCATATTAATAAAGACAAAAGAAGAAAAACAAATAATTTATAACAATAAATTACAAAAAAAAAAATTAAATTAAAAACATTTCATCATTTGATTTTTCATTATACATGCATATTTATACATTTTTTTCTTTTTATAATAATTTTATAATTTAAAAACACACACAAGCTTTTTTTTATTTCACTTTCGCTAAACGAAACGTATTGAAAAAAGTCAATGGCCTAAGATTACACAGATTCATATTTTATTTGTTGTTGCTTTACTTCTCTTTCTTTTTAAGTTTTTTTGTAATATTTTGCCTCCATACAGTCTAATAAAACAAATGCGAACAGAATTGGAAAAAAATGCAAAATTAATCAACATTCAATAAAAAATTATTAATGAGCTGTTGTTGCTCTACTTTAAATAAAATTACAATGTTCAAAATTAAGCTGGAGAAATAAAGAAAACAAATAGTTTAAAAAGGTCTATTGTTTTGTATTAAACAAATTAATTCTAATACCCTTTTTATACAGGAAGTTTGAAATAAAACTTTTTTTCCCCCTTATAACAAAAACATTACCTTACCCGGCAGTTTTAAAAAGCAAAAATTTGTGTATAACTAGTGCAGCATTTTTGGCCGTAATAAAAACTACATGGTTTTGCCACCAGTACCTTAAACTAACGGATATTTACAACTTTTTCTTAGGATGCGTAAACCTCAATAGTTTTATTATGTCAGTAAAAATAGTTTCACTATCTTCTACTAACTCTCTCTACCTTCCTTCCTCGCTTATTTAACTATGTATTACAAATACTGCTGACCATTGTTTTACAACTTTTTTACTGCATTAAGCTAAAAAAAGTTTTATATTTGAAACAAAAGTAATTTCTGTAAAACAAATAATTTAATTGCAAATCCCCAATTGAATTTCAATAAATTCAACGAAAAAAAAAATGTTATTCAGTTCTAGAGTTATAAGTAGTAAGGGTTTAATAATTCTTGAGAAAAAGCTTCTTTTTGGGCTGCTTAATCTGTATGTACGAGTAAACGAGTTTGAGTATTAAAATTAAAAGAAAACAAAGTCGAAATAAAAAAGAGACGCAATTTTGACCACAATTAGGGAATAACTTTCGTAACAGAAAGTTTTATATTAATCAAGCTTAGTAGACCTCTTTAGAATACATCATGGGCAACTGCAACATAAAAAGTCTAGACTATAGACTAGACTAAACTATTGACTAGACTATAGACTAGACTAAACTATAGACTAGACTATATACTAGACTAGACTATAGACTAGCCTATAGACAAGACTAGACTATAGACTAGACTATAGACTAGCCTATAGATAAGACTATAGACTAGACTATAGACTAGACAATAGACTAGACTATAGACTAGACTATAGATTAGACTATAGACTAGACTATAGACTAGACTATAGACTAGACTATAGACTAGACTATAGACCAGACTATAGACTAGACTATAGACTAGACTATAGACCAGACTATAGACTAGACTATAGACTAGACTATAGACTAGACTATAGACTAGACTATAGACTAGACTATAGACTAGACTATAGACTAGACTACAGACTAGACTATAGACTAGACTATAGACTAGACTATAGACTAGACAATAGACTAGACAGTAGACTAGACTATAGACTAGACTATAGATTAGACTATAGATTAGACTATAGACTAGACTATAGATTAGACTATAGACTAGACTATAGACTATCCTATAGACTAGACTATAGACTAGACTATAGACTAGACTATAGACTAGACTATAGACTAGACTATAGACTAGACTATAGACTAGACTATAGACTAGACTATAGATTAAACTATAGACTAGACTATAGACTAGACTATAGACTATCCTATAGACTAGACTATAGACTAGACTATAGACTAGACTATAGACTAGACTATAGACTAGACTATAGACTAGACTATAGACTAGACTATAGACTAGACTATAGACTAGACTATAGACTAGACTATAGACTAGACTATAGACTAGACTATAGACTAGACTATAGACTAGACTATAGACTAGACTATAGACTAGACTATAGACTAGACTATAGACTAGACTATAGACTAGACTATAGACTAGACTATAGACTAGACTATAGACTAGACTATAGACTAGACTATAGACTAGACTATAGACTAGACTATAGACTAGACTATAGACTAACTATAGACTAGACTATAGACTAGACTATAATAGACTATAGACTAGACTATAGACTAGACTATAGACTAGACTATAGGACTAGACTAGACTATAGACTAGACTATAGACTAGACTAGAGCTATAGACTAGACTATAGACAGACTATAGACTAGACTATAGACTAGACTATAGACTAGACTATAGACTAGACTATAGACTAAGACTATAGACTAGACTATAGACTAGACTATAGACTAGAACTATAGACTAGACTATAGACTAGACTATAGACTGACTATAGCTAGACTATAGCTAGACTATAGACTATAGAGCTAGACTATAGACTAGACTATAGACTAGACTATAGACTAGACTATAGACTAGACTAGGACTAGACTATAGACTAGACTATGACTAGACTATATACTAGACTGATAACTACTAGACTATAGACTAGACTATAGACTAGACTATAGACTAGACTATAGACTAGACTATAGACTAGACTATAGACTAGACTATAGACTAGACTATAGACTAGATAGACTATAGACTAGACTATAGACTAGACTATAGACTAGACTATACTAGACTATAGACTACTATACTATATACTAGACTATAGACTAGACTATAGACTAGACTATAGACTAGACTATAGACTAGACTATAGACTAGACTATAGACTAGACTGACTAGACTAGACTACTATAGACTAGACTACAGACTAGACTATAGACTAGACTATAGACTAGACTATAGACTAGACTATAGACTAGACTATAGACTAGACTATAGACTAGACTATAGACTAGACTATAGACTAGACTATAGACTAGACTATAGACTAGGCTATAGACTAGACTATAGACTAGACTATAGACTAGACTATAGACTAGACTATAGACTGGGCTATAGACTAGACTATAGACTAGACTATAGACTAGACTATAGACTAGACTATAGACTAGACTATAACTATACTATAGACTAAACTATAGACTAGACTATAGACTAGACTATAGACTAGACTATAGACTAGACTATAGACTAGACTATAGACTAGACTATAGACTAGACTATAGACTAGACTATAGACTAGACTATAGACTAAACTATAGACTAGACTATAGACTAGACTATAGACTAGACTATAGACTAGACTATAGACTAGACTATAGACTAGACTATAGACTAGACTAGACAGTGGTCTGGTTTGCTGATGAGTTTATTGACTAGTCTATGAATTCGTTTATTGTAGTTATTAGTCTAATTATCGGAATAGTTTTGTCATAAACCAATCTATGAACTAGTAAAAATTTATCTTAATTTATATACATACTAGTATATTTACTCGTTTATATACTACTTTATAAAAGCTAATAATAACTGCTAGAAATTCTTTCAAATGTTGAAATGTTTGTTTTTAAAGGATTTCAAGCTCTTGAATCTATCAAAGCCCTAAATAAAATGTTTCTTTATTTTCTCCTAACTAGGTTACAATTTAAATATTCATATGTAGGTAAATTATCAACAAATAATTTTCAAAAAATTCTCATTTGTCAGCAAAATGACAAATTAACCAACATTTATGTTACATTTTCCTCGTTTTGCCACAAAATTTCTGCAAAACGATTTCAGCATGAATCTACTATACACAGAGTCCCCATGGTTTTGTTTTTGTGCCACAATGTAGAATAATTAATCATCGTATATTCTGTGATTTTTTTTTTAATTTAATTTTTTGCAGTTTATTGAATTTATAATAATTGTCATTTTATCTACGACCAATTAAGAATCATAAATTGACAATATTAACAGATTATTGGTTTTTTACAACGTGTTAAGTATAATAATTAATGTTCATTCAGGCGTATTTTATTTTAAATTTATTTCATTATAAAAAAAAAAACCAATGGAATCTTTTTTTATTATTATTATTTAATTCCTCATCATATAACTCTCACTCGTATAGGAAGATATTTACATAATGACATAATTAATAATAGATATAAAAAATAAAACAATGAAATTGAATAATTATGAAAAAAACAAAGTTATTTGTAATAATAAATGGGCTAAATATGGCTTTCAACTAAATTAGTTATAGACAAAAGAAGAAAAATAACAATATAATTATTTGAAATGAAACT